ACAACTCCCAATTCAAATTTTTCCCAACAAATCAATTTTTACAATTTTTTATTACACATTTTTCAATAAAAAGTCAAAAAGTTAACCCAAACATCCATATTTTCAACCTCAATTTTTTAGTCCAAAAAGACAAAAAGTATACTTTTTTAGTCTTCCCAAACTTGGCCTAATTCACAAAGCCAATCAAGTGCCAAACGTGGCAATATAATAGCATTTATATATATGTTAAGGGAGAAAGAGAAGAGGCATGGTCTTTGAAAAGATAAATAAGAGTTAAGGCAGTGTCTTGAAAAAGATAAAACATTAACTCACAAAGCCAATCAAGAGCCAAACATGTCAATAAAAGAAATATAATAGCATTAATAAATATTTCGGACCGGTTCAGTTTCGGCAAATTATCTTATAGCACAATCGAAACTCAACCAAAGATTGAACGGGTTTGGAGATTTGAACTTGTTTCTAACCGAAGTGAATTCGAAATCGCCCATGACTTGCTTGGATCAGTCTGATTAGATCAGTTTTTTCGGGTGATTCGGTTATTTGTGTAGCCCTACCCGTAGCCATATAAAATAATAAAGTAAGGACTTATTGCTTCTTTTCAATACTCTACTATAAATAGACATGTGGTATTTTTTTATTGCATGAAAAAAATGATAGTGAAGTGATTTTGAAGCACATGTGGGTTTTGAGTTTAGGTTTCGGAGTTAATCTAATGTTTTTATTGTTGGTCTTGAAATTGAGAGATAATAATACATGCTTATGATGATTGAATATAAAAGCCCTAATTTTTAATTGAATATTTATGATGATAAAGAAGAGTTGGAAATTACAGAATCATTGAGACTTTATGAAATTAGAGTCTGATTCATGGTGATTTAAGTGAAAATGTCCAAATCTTAGTTGTTTATGTAATAATTTCGAGAATGAGGTAAATTGATGGAATCTATGCCTATTTGAGTCGTGTCGATTATTGTAAATTCAATATTGTGAAAATGATATGGATGGGTTGTCATGTAATGGTACTATATCGTACTTGTTGAGAAATTGAATTAATGAAATCAAAATTATTGAAAGAGTAGAATATAAATAGACAAAGGAAGGATAATGATTTTAGGGTAAATTACACCGGTGGTTCCTATATTTTACCCCTTGCGTCATTTTGGTCCCTACACTGTCAATTGACTTGATTTTGACCCTTACTTTTATATTTTGCGTCAATTTGGTCTAATTGGTAATATCGTTAGTGTCTATTAAGAAAAATTATTACTAAATTGGATGAGGTTAACTCACTGAGTTCAGTAAGTTTATAATTTGGCCCTTAAAAATATGGCACATAACACTCATGTGCATATTTTTCAGAGTAAACTACTATAGTAGTCCCTATAGTTTGATCCTTGCATCATTTTAGTCTTTGTAATTTCAATGTGCTCAATTTTGACCCTAAAATTATGATTTTATTTCAATTTGGTCCAATTGATTACAACTCTTAGCATTTTTTAATGAAAAATACGCATATAAGTGGCATGTGTCATATATTTAAGAGTAGATTTATAAACTTACTCAGCTTAGTAAGTAAACCTCAATCAATTTAGTGACTATTTTTTGTCAAAAACACGAACGACATTATCAATTGGACCAAACTGACAAAAAATGTAAAATTCAAGGTCAAAATTGAGCAAATTGAACATGTAAATGACACAAGGGGTAAAATGTAAGGACCATCAGTATAATTTGTCCTATTTTTCATAAATAAATGCTAAGAGTTGTAACCAATTGGACCAAATTGAGACAAAGTCACAAATTCAGGGTCAAAATTGAGTCCATCGAAATTACAGGGACTAAAATTGCACAAGGACCAAAGTACAAGGACTACCATCGTAATTTGCCCATGATTTTATAAGTAATTGTTGTGAGACTTGTATCATGCAATTGGAAGAGGAAGAGAAACATGTAATGGTCTTGAATTAGACTTATGTCGAAACTATTGATAATTGGAAATGATGAAATCAAGTATGGAATTACTATGAGAATTATTTTGTTTCAATGTGAGAGTTGGGTCTTTATTGCATAGAGGTTTCGTCCTTAGCCATCTGTGAAGGATGGAATTGCTTGTTATAGAATCGATGTGAAATAGATTGAACTGTGCTATTAGTTGATTGCGTAATTATGTAATCAGATGAGAATGAATGAAAGGAAATTGAGATGCATGTGTGTGAATTGTGATTGTGCTATATAGAGGTAACACGATCCTTTCGGCTAGCAATCGGTTAAGCAGGCTAATGTGCTATATAGAGGTAATGCGTTCCTTCCGGTTAGCACCCGATAAAGCAAGTTGTGCTATATATAGGCAATGTATTTCTGGCTAGCAACCGGTAAAGCAGGCAAACGTAGGGCTTGATGAGACCACAGTGGTGATGTGGGGCTTGATGAGACCACAAATTTTTTATTTTATCGTGAGATTTTATTACTAATGTATGTATGTTTGTAGAGATAATTGTTGACCAAAATGAGTATCAATAATAAGTAGTCATTGAATTCGGAACAATGTAAGTATTGTTTGATATAAATGAGTATCACGAAAATACTGTGGATTGGTTCTAGAAATCTTTGTGAATTGAAAGTGGTGAGTTACCAAGATCAGAAAATGGATTGTCTTGATATGATAAAGAATGATACTTTTGAAGAAAGATATACTTATGTATGTATATTTGAATATAAAAAGTCACATTACATATATAAATATGAATTGTAACATTCATGATCATATCTATCTATATATTGTTATTGTTTAGAGTCATTGGGGTTCCTACTAGACATTTGTGTTCATCTCACATTGTTGATTATTTTCCAGGTGTGAAGTTTGATAGATTTGTGCAAGACTTGAAATCTCCTTGACTGTTGGCCATGGGGCCTATTACATTAGGCAGAATGCCAATTTGTTGTAAAGAGGGTTAAACCCTTTTGTTTTATTTGTTTTGCTTTAAATTGTTAAATGTAGGTTGGCACTTCTAATTAATTGTATTGATCACCTCATCATTGTATATCTATACTAGAGAGAGAACCTTAATTGGTTAGTTTATTTTATTCTGACTTCATATCTTGGAAATGGACTTAATTAAAGGGCTATGGTAGTTGATTCGAGTAATAAAATTTGGGGCGTTACATGTTCTTTGCCTCTAGAGAACATAAAAGAGGAATAGACTTTTCCTCTATTGAAGAGTAATTAAAAAATTCTGGAAAAAAAGTTATTATAACTCCTTAACACTCACTTGTATCCATTTTGTAAACCTAAACTCTAAATCATAAGATGATATATATGATTATGCTTTCATCTAGCATTGTTAAAAGGCTTCGGTCAAGTTTTTCCCAACAAAACAAGCACTTGTATTGAAATGATAAAAAACTTTCCACTTTAGGATTCTCTTGATTAATTATATCACCCCAATTAAGCTCATCCTGCTCATTAATGGTAGAAATCTAATTCATATCTTACCAGAAAAGAATTATAAAGAAATCTAGCCAATCAGTTGATTCTCATCTCACGCGACCACAATATTTTATGTTCATTCTAGCATGCATCAAGTCTTATAACAATAATCCTTTCTTTCTTTTCTTTTTTTTATGCAAATCATTGATGTTGTGCCAAATAGTTCACAAAAAACATATAAGAAGAAAGAATAGATGAAATGTATTTAATCTAATGTATTTTACTTAATATGTACTGATTGGTAAAATGAAAGAACAATTCAACCAGTTGTGGAAAGATCGCTAATAAATTAGAATGTTGACCGATACTCAAGGTTTTGAAAAGCGGTTGCGGTCACCGTAACAGTAGCGGTGGCACGGTTGCGGTTGCGGGGTGTAAAGGCCGTAACGTAACAGTTGCGGTAATCGGAACCGTGAATTTTTTTATTTTTCACACAATTTGAAAAAAACTTACCGATACACATATGTTTTTTCCAAAATCATATTTATTGGGTTTTAAAATAAATTTTGATCAATTTTTGTTAATTTTTAAGTATGATCCAATATATTTCATATTTTTAAATCACTACCAGCTGAGTTTTTTACATTTTATTTTAATAATTAATGACTATATGTCAGAAATCCATATTACAAGTTGTGGCAAAATTTTCTTCAAAACTTGGCATATATAAAATATGTATTAATATATAATTATAGGTGTGATGTTTTCTAGATATTTTACAAAAAATCAATTACTAACTAAAAAGAGAATAAATAAGAGTCTAAATATATATATATATATATATATTTTTTTTTAATCAAGCCAAATACATAATGATTACACTTATTATTATTATTATTATTTATTTTTTTTCAAACAAAGATTACATGGTTGAGTGAAGTTCTCCCTGCAAGATGTATCGGCAACATCATCTTCAACAAGTCAATAACAGATTCTTCATCTTCCCTCTTCTCTCTCTCTCTCTCTATCTTTTACTTCTCCATTTTCTCTCTTCATCTTCCCTCTTCTCTCTCTATCCCTCTTCTCACCTTTTTCAGTATTTTTTTCTCTCGAAAGAAGCTATTTGGAACCATTACATAACAGTGCATAATGGGTTGTTACGGCCGCCACACTTGTGAATCTCAATCACACTGCAACCGTTACGTAACGACGCATTTTGAAACCTTGAAATAAATTCACATAAGATTTTTTTCTTTAGATTTGGATCACTTGAGTATTTGTTCTTTTTTTGCAAGCTTTTATTTATTTATTTATTTTTTTGGAAAAGAAAGTTATTCAGAATATTATAAAGGGTGTAACAGTATGTAACAGACAGTTACGGTACCGCTACGGCCGTTACGTAACACCGAAACGGCGTTACACATGTGAATTTCCATCACACCGCTATAGCGGCCGTAACGGGTGGCGGTAACCACCGCAACCGTTACGTAACGGCGTTACGTAACGGTTGCGGCCGCTTTTTGAAACCTTGCCGATACTACATCAAAATAGTAAAAGGAATTAACACCTTCACCTGTAAATAGTGAACAATTGCTGTTGGTGACCAGCATGAGCCATTTGTAGAGCTAAATCATGAAGTAATGGCAAAATTCTGGGGGGAATGAGAGTTGGAACAGTGTAAACAGCTGCTTCTAAGCTATGAGAAGATGGTTTCTTGCCACTAGCATTGCCTGGCGATCCTGATGATGGTCGCAAAGAATTGGGTAGGCAGTCAAAAAGACGATCAGGTTCCACAGGTTTGCTGGAATCCAGATGAGAGATGAGTCATCTGACTTACTTGATCATCTTTTACATTTAGCATTAACGAAAAACCAAATAATCTTCTGATGAATTTATACAGAGCTTAAAGATGCATTATGAATTAAAAACAAATTCAAAATCATTATACAATTACATAGAATATGCAGAATAAAACATTAAAAAAATTCATAATACAATCGAGTAACACCAAAATTCTCTACAGGTTCAGGTTCAGACGAAAAAAGAGAAGCATAAAATACTGAATGCTTCACGTAAAATATTACATCTTCATTCTAAACTATTGTAAGCAAACAATAAGGAAACTAATCAAGTATATCCACAAAATCATAACTACATGGTGACAATGTTAAGCTTGTCTTTGTTACTGATTACGGATAACGACCCATGTTAGGTAACATAATTAATCATGAATAGGCTATGTTAACTTAAGGTGTGAAGGCAAGCATGATCAAAGTTCTGTTTTGATGTGATGTCTCAGTCAGCTAAGAAATGAAGTATTTTGAATAGAACGGAAATGGAAAATATTTTGGAAACACTGGAAATTTTTTGAAAACTAAAACTAAAACCTATCTATAATGAGCTCTGAAGTATTGATTAATTGAACATAGTTAAGGTCTATACAGTCATTGATATAAAGATCACAACTGCACAATCCTAATATATGTCAATAAGACTAAAAAACATTTATTAATGTGAAATGAATCAAAAATATCAAACAAGAGTATACATGATTCCAAGGTGCATAAAATCCCAAATTTTCAAAAAAGGAAAAAATAATTTAATAATAATATAACAATCATAATTGTCATATCAGGATACAAATTGTGTATTGTTTTTCTCTATTTAAGAATCACATTTCATAAACTTATCATGTGGCATAAGATTTTTTAACATCGTGAAAATAGGTTAAAAAAATACTAATTACGTACAAAATAAAATTGCAACAATAAGCGTTAAACAACATATAATCAATGGCATGAGTAAAAGTGTTGCCTCCAAGAGATTAAGACATACACACATCAGCATACAATACTACAAAAATGGTTTGAAGATAGATTAAGAATATTATAAAAGATATGACACCCTATAACCTTAGCTCTATGGATCTCATACTAGGGGTGATATTTTCGCTTTCGAACTGTAATTCCACAGCTCATAGCAAGAATCTTGCTAAAACCACGCCCCTAATGTGATAGAATTGCAATTCCAACTAGGATGGGACTACTATGAATTCCAACTTTGTTTACCAACCACACATTGTCTAACCAAATAAATAAATAAACTACTAAGGAAAAAGAATATTTGTAGAGATCATATATTTATCGTGGATTTTGACTGTCCTCTTAGGAATTAAAGAATGTAGATTTTTTATGTACATTTCAATTAGGTTATCTAAGGATTGAGGAGTAAAGATAAACGTTATTGATGATAAATTGTTACTTTCAAAATGAGAATTCACTATGCTTATTTTTAACAGCTTAATTGGTAATGTAATGTAAACATTTTAACTTACAATTATTGATTGAACCGCATTAATTTGTTTCAGACTAATGTTAACCTCGAGTTAGTAGTTGGGTTCTTAGGGTATTCTTCAGTGTGCAATGTCCCCTATTAAAATTGCTCCCGAAGAAAGTTATAAATCCATCTTTTATATTCCTTTGCATGTGGGCAGCTCATCCAAACAGTTGAAGGAATGTTTGGTAATCTCCTAACACCATGGCTTCCTTGATGGGCCCATACAGGTCATTGATAACAATCTATACTACATCTTCTTCTCTTGTGTATAAAATACATTAATGGTCCCCTAGACTTTTCTATGTCTCCGTCCTCGCTCGTCCTCCCACTTCATGCGATTAAGATTCGTACCTATAGATCAGAAGTCAAAAGATTAATTTCCATATTGTGGATCAATTTAGAATGTTTAGAAACATATCTACAAGTTCCAAGTAGTGTAGGCTGAGTTGGTTATGGCTCCTAAAAAGCATAGCGACATTACACTCTATGGTAGAACATCTATTGATCTAAAAAGACAAAAAAACTTGACTGATTACAATAAGGTTCTTGTCTAGAGAATGTGTAAGTTCACATGAGGGACACATAAACTGCTAGCCAACTCTCAGATAAATTCAATAAAAAAAAAAATATTCACTAGACAAATTGTAACGCCTTCAATTATTTGAAACTAGACTAACCGGGTACAATCCATATTCATTAACCAGTCCCAATTATCGAAAGTATTAAACATGCGAAAGCAATAGTTTATCTCAAACATGTCGATAATCCTGTCATAGTAAATCTCCACTTTCAATTATATTTCATTCAAATCTTTCATTGTGAGATTACAAAAAGTTAATTACACGCAAGTATACATTCACAATCCCTAAGACTTAAATCTATATCATGTAATGTAAATATGAAAGTAAAACATATTCAAATATATGCCCTGATAGCTTACAAATTTCAAGGGCCTTGCCCTATTACAACAAAAGAGGCACGCTATCAACACCTGAAAATGATTTCCACATAGGGATAACAATATAGCCCAACAGAGATAATCTTAACAAAGTGCATGAGTTTTAACATTATCATGATTATGAGACACAATTATGTGTCATGCTCAAAACCATAACACCAATCAATAACTTTCATTTCATCAAAACATTAGGCGGTAGATACAACACTAGCAATCCCTAGGTACGTATCCGCTAGTAGTCTTTCAAAGCACTACCAAATACACACTTTTCCGACTATTAATTGGAAGGAAATTGTAACCTACTCCGCACATGTTTTAGGACTTTCACCATGGATCTTGTAATGACCCCGTCCCAAATCAGAAGTTTGCACTGGGTGATATTGAGCATATAAAGCACCACTAGCTTGCTACTGCATAACTTGGGCTTAAGCTTTTGTGTCATGTTGGTAGACCCACAGGTTACTTGGGCTAGCAGGTAATGGGGTGTTACAAATAGTATAGCCAATCCATGCACACAACCATGTGGATCACTATTTTGGGCTGGCCACGAGCTTGACGTGGTATTTTTGATTGATTATGGACCCACGAGAGGACTCGAGAATTTATTAGTGGGGGAGTTTGTAACAACCCCGTCCCATATCAGAAGTTTGCATGAGTGATCTTGAGCATATAAAGCACCACTAGCTTGCTACTAAGTAACTTGAGCTTGTGCTTTTGGGTCATGTTAGTAGACCCACAAGTTACTTCGACAAACAGGTTGTAAGGCATTACAAACCTCAAGCCAACCTAATTCTCAAAACATAACTACATCCCCTAACTGGATTTACCAAGGTATTTGGCTTATTTCTTAACATTTTCAAAAGTTCTCAACGAACCAATCATAATGTATTTCACAAAATGTGATACGAAGTGAAACCGTGAAATCATGGAATGTCAATGATACGCATGTCTTTGCAAATGTTTTAATTTTTCTGATTCTCATGCAATTTCTCTATGACAAGTCAATGCAAACCTCCACTGATTGCAAAAACAATTATCTCTATCAAAATATTCCAATAAGGCAATATATAGAGCGCATAATTCAAAATCTTCAACAATTCCTGTGATTTCCCTGGTTGTTGACCTGACTTGTTTACGCCTTTTTGGAGTCTAGAGTGTTGTAGGACATGTCAGTATTTGTATTTGAACCTGTTTAACATTCTTGTTGTTTCTTTGAGATAGAAATTTTCGAGTTTCAGATATAAGGACAAACTGAGGAAGTATGGGAACGCCTTAGAAATCTTTTTGACCATCAGTCTTTCCTGCACCGCACATGCAGCAAGAGGGGCTCACACGTGCGGTTTAGTGCAGTCTCTATTTGAAATTATGGGCAGTTTTGCACACTTGCAGTGGGAGGGTCCTGCACTTGCAACGTGAGTCCAACACATGCGGCCAAGGGGCACCGCACATGCAGAAGAAGGGAGCCGCACATGTGGCCAAGGGCTCCTTAGGTGCAGCTAGGCGCTTGAAAATCTCAAATTTGTGCCTTTTTGCTTTTATACCGATCTTTTCCCCTCCTCTTCATTTCTTCTTGACTCTTTCTCTCTCTAACTCTCTCTTTTTCTCTTCCTTCTCTCTAAAACTCACCCAACCCACACAAATCTCCAATCCAACAAAATCCATTAAGATTTAGACCCTAGTTCTTAAGATCAAAACGACGAGCATTTCAAGGGCTATGTTTCGATCGAAGCATTCGACGATCCGGCAAATCGAAATTTCCAGGGCTTTTCTTCTTTTCTCTTTCAAACACTTGAGGTAAAGATTTTCTTAATATTGTGTATGTATTTTAGCTTTGTTACGTGTTATTTTGATAGTTTATGTTAGAATTTACCATTCACACTCACCTACTACACTCCACTACTCCTTTTATATCAGTCCGAAAAGTTACTTTTCGGATCACTTTTCTTGACTCTTTCTCTCTCTAACTCTCTCTTTTTCTCTTCCTTCTCTCTAAAACTCACCCAACCCACACAAATCTCCAATCCAACAAAATCCATAAAGATTTAGACCCTAGTTCTTAAGATCAAAACGACGAGCATTTCAAGGGCTATGTTTTGATCGAAGCGTTCGACGATCCGGCAAATCCAAATTTCCAGGGCTTTTCTTCTTTTCTCTTTCAAATACTTGAGGTAGAGATTTTCTTAATATTGTGTATGTATTTTAGCTTTGTTACGTGTTATTTTGATAGTTTAACACACTTGAGAGATTTGGGTTTGTTTGTATGAGTATTAATACACCAATTAGGGGAAAACTCTCAAACTTTGCAAAATCTTCAAATTGATTTTCTTTTGATTAACTTATAATTGTGAATTTGTGAAATATGTATTTTGAGAGAGAACCCCCTAATTTTTCATAAACCCTAGAAGTTGCAATCGTTGAAATTGAATTTGTGTGGATGAAAAATCCTTGAAGAATTATTAGCGTTGAGTATATTTGGAAATGATGAGATTGTGTAAAATCATACTCCA